ATATATAATAATAATAAAAGTACAAAAGCATAGGGTGTAAACAATCTCCACAAAGATATTTAGTTGACTATGTCACTAAACCTAAATCTAGCATTTTGAATCTAGAACTAAGCTACCAAGCAAAACTCTAAAATATTAAGGGTTGTTTGGGATCGCTTATTATTTTTGTTTTTAATAATGTTTCTTTTTTATATTGTTTAGATTTTTTGAAATTAAATCAAGATACTTTTTGAAAAATATCCAAAACAATTTTTATGTATTTTAGTTGATTCAAAATTCTTAAATGAAAAAGTCTGTCTACGACCATCATATTAGACAATGAGAGTCTAGAAGCATCCAAAATCAAGAAAGTACAAATACAAACCAAAGACCAATAACTATTGTACACGTGTAAATACAGCAAAGGTCTTTAACTATGTATTCAATACCCTATAAATAGGGATGATGTACTCATATCTCAATGAATGAAAATCATATTACAGTCCATTCTCTGTCTTTGTTACACTGTTGGCTTAACATCTAAAATAGTTTATCATGCTATCAGAGCGTAGTCCTAAGAACGATTTTTTTTTTCTTTCCGTTCTTCATCATCTTCTCCTTCTCTCTTCAACGACTGATCACCAATGGCGGGATCGTCAACTTCTCCTCCCACAGTGGATTCGACGTCAACAACCCAGCAACTCAGCTTCTCTCCTCAGCTTAAATTCTTGATGAATCACATCAAGAATCTGGTATCCAGTCCGCTAACAGAAACAAATTACCCGATCTGGAAATCTCAGGTGCTCAAGATCTTCTGTGCAAACAGCTTCAAAGGGTTCTTGGATGGATTGATCCCTGCTCCTAATCCCTCCGATCAATCCTCATTATCCAGCGATCGAATAGCTCAAGCACAATGGGATTTGATCGATCAAAACCTAGCAGCCGCAATATATTCGGTAATTTCACCAACCATTCTCCTGTATGTGCTCTCGTTAACACATACTGCAGAAATCTGGGATACACTTCAACTCCGATTGCAATCTACGACGAGATCCCGTGTTCTTTAATTGAAAAATGAACTTCATCTTGTTGTCAAGGGAGATAAATCAATGGTTGCATATCTACTTGAAATAAAGTCAAAAGTAGACTCATTTGCTGCTGCAGGTAGTAAAGCCAAACTGGAAGATGTCATAGTGTCATACTACACACCCTTAATGGGCTCCCAGCATCCTACCAGTCATTCAAAACAGCCCTTCGGACAAATTTACAGCCTATAAGTCTTGACGATTTGTACAGTCTCCTTTGCACAGAAGAATAGAGCTTAGTTCATGATACGACCAAAGATCTTCAAAACTTACAGATGCCAGATCCTACCATGGAGTTAGTAGCTTACCGGGGTCGTGGCCGTGGTCGTGGTTGTAGTAACACAGATTGCGGACGACGAGGTCGTAGACAGCGATCTTCACAACAGCAATCGGACAGACCTTCAACAAGAACTGTATGTCAGATCTGTATGAAAACAGAGCATTCAGCAATAAAATGCTGGTATCGTGTAGACTTCTCATATAATGAAGATTCACAAAAGACTGCACTCTTCAGCTCATCTGAAACATAGAATAGTGCCGATTGGTATCTTGACAGTGGAGCTTCTACACATCTCACGACTGATTCAACTCATCTGACAAATACCGATCCATATATGGGATCTTCTCATGTTGTACTGGGAAATGACCAACAAATGCCGATCCAGCATACTGGCAAAGGCGTTCTTCCAACTCCATCAGGTACTCTCATACTCAAAAACATTCACCACGTACCAAATCTTTCATTTAACTTACTCTCTGTTCATCAATTAACCCATGACAATAACTGCATCGTTTCTTTCTCGGCTAATGGATACCAAATCAAGGATACGAAGAGCAATCGGGTTATTCTTTAAGGTCCATGCCATAACGGACTTTACTCGGTTCGTTTGGCTAAACCACCTGATCTCGCTCTCATATCCATTCAAACGGTACCGGACTTATGGCATTCCATACTAGGACATCCAGCTATTGCTACTCTTAAACGTCTAGCTGCTGTTATTCCTGTTATACATATTAAGTCTCATACTAGTTCCTGCACTACTTGTCATCTTGCTAAAAGCAAGCAATTATCATTTCCTGTTTCAGTCTCTCTTACAAATAAATTGTTTGAACTTGTACATTCAAATGTATGGGGTCCCTCTCATACTACATCAATGCAAGGTTTTCGTTACTTTGTCACTTTTATTGATGATTACTCACAATTCTGTTGGGTCTTTCCTCTTGCTCACAAATCAAAAGTTTTTCACGTGTTCACACAATTCCATAAATTCGTTAAATGTTGTTCAACACCAACATTTGTACAATTCATACAGATGGCGGAGGGGAATACTTAAACAATAATTTCAAAACTTATTGTAAATCTGTTGGAATTGTTCATCAATATACTTGTCCCTATACACCGGCTCAAAATGTTATAGCCGAGCATAAAAATCGCCATATCTTGGAAACTATTCGAAGTCTACTGATTCATTCTAACGCACCTCATACACTATGGGTTGAAGCATTGCATACAGCCATTTATCTCATAAACTGACTTCCCACCACTACACTCCATTATAAAACACCATTTGAAGTTCTCTACCAAAAGCCACCTTCATATACTCATCTAAAAACATTTGGTTGTTTATGCTTTCCTCGGATGAAACCCTATTCCAAATCAAAACTATCTCCATTATCTATTCCGTGTGTTTTTCTCGGTTATGCATCAAATCAGAAAGGATTTCGTTGTCTTGACACCACCACTCAACGCATATTTACATCAAGACATGTTATCTTCAATGAAACAAAATTTCCTTTTCATAGCCAAGTCTCCCCATCAAATACCAGAAACAACCTTCATCCAGAAAATTCAATTCCTCCTCTTCTCCTAGTACCTACTTCTACACTAGAAATAACAACTAATGTTCCTCTGTCAGCTATTGTCATCCCACAACAGCAACATAATCACCAACCCATCTCTCCCAACATTACAATCAACTCTGCTGTATCATCTCCTACCCAAATGCCTACTCTATCTGTTGGTAATTCTCCAGTCAACAACATTAAGACCCATCTAATGAAAACCCGATTTCAAACTGGGAATCTCAAG